CCTTCTTCGTTGACCCTCCTCTTTACCAAGCATCATATCCTTCTCCAGGGAATGGTCCCTTCTGACAACATGACCACAGTAGGTGAGATGAAGCCTAGCCATTCTCGCTTCCAAGGAGCATTCTGGCTGCACCTCCTCCAGGACAGATTTGTTAGTCCTTTTGACAGACGATGGTACTCTTAGCATTCTTCTCCAACACCACAACCCAGAAGCATCAACTTTTTTTCATTCTTCCTTATTCATTATCCAGCTCTAACATGCATAAGAGGCAATTGAAAATACCATGTGTGGTGGTTAATTTTGTGTGCCAAGTTGGCTGGGCCTAGTTGAATGTAATTATTCCTCATGGTGAAATTGATAATTAACTCCATGGTGGAATCTATTGGAGCAGCTGAGTAGCTGCTTTGGCTATGTGGTCTGCTTCCTATATATAAGAAACAGCTTTGGGAATGAGCTCTAGCTCAGGGCAATCTTGAACGCTGCATGTAGCTGTGTCATTGTTCAGCAGCCTGCCATGCTCTGCTGACCTTGGAACTTTCAGTAGACTTGAATTAATGGCTTACCATGTGGTTTGGTAACATTGGGACTGTGCCATTTTATTTGTTGACCTTGGGCTTGTTAGCCTCAGCAGCCAGTAGCTACCTGAGTGAAGAAATGCCTCTAGTTTCAGTGGGCCAGGAGCAAGAGGCAGACCTGAAGCCCAAGGTCGAGGGGCTTTCACACAGCCCCTAGAGCCTGGCACTTTGAACTCAGACTTCTAACCTCCCAAACTGTAAAAGAATAAACTCCTGTTTGTTCAATCAATCCCATTTGTGGTATTTTCTGTAAGAGCAGCACAGAGGTAACCAAAACACCATGGCTTGGGTTAGGTGCACCTTAATCATCAAGGAGACATCTTTGCTCTTCAATACTTGAAAGAAGTCTTTTGCAGCAGATTTGCCCAATCCAATACATCATCTGATGTCTTGACTGCTGCTTCCATTGGTGTTGATTAGGAGCCAAATGATATGAAATCCTTGACAACTTCAATCTTTTCTCCATCCACCATGAAGCTGTTTATTGGACCAGTTGTGAGAATTTTTGTCTTCTTTATATTGAGGTGTAATCCATACTGCAGACTGTAGTCTTTAATCTTCATCAGTAAGTGCTTCAAGTCATCCTCACTTTCACCAAGCAAAGTTTTTCATATCACAAGTTGTTAATGATTCTTCCTCCAATCCTGATGCCATGTTCTTTATGTAATCCAGCTTCTCTGATTATTTGCTCAGCATACAAGTTGAATAAATATTGTGAAAGGATACAACCTTGACACACTCCCTTTTTGATTTTGAACCATGCAGTATCTCCTTGTTTTGTTTGAACAGCAGCCTCATGGTCTATGTACAGGTTCCTCATGAGTACAATTAAGCATTTTGGAATTCCCATTCTTCTCAATGTTATCCACAATTTGTTATGATCCACACAATGTAATGCTTTTGCATAGTCAATAAAACATAAGTAAACATCTTTCTGGTATTCCTTGCTCTGGGCCAAAATCCATCTGACATCAGCAATGATATCCCTTGTTCCACATCCTCTTCTGAATCCAGCTTGCATCTCTGGAAGTTCTCTCTCAATATACTGCTGTAACTGTTTTGAATTGTCTTCAGTAAGATTTTACTTGCATGTGGTATTAATGATATTGTTCGATAATTTCCACATTCTGTGGGATCACCTTTCTTTGGAATGGGTACAAATATGGATCTCTTCCAGTCAGTTGGCCAGGTAGCTGTCTTCCAAATTTCTTGGCATAACCAAGTAAGTTCTTCCAGCAGGGCATCTGTTTGTTGAAACATGTCAATGGTATTCCATCAATTCCTGGAGCCTATTCTTCACCAATTCCTTCAGTGCAGCTTTGACTTCTTCCTTCAATACCATTAGTTCTTGATCATATGCCACCTCCTGAAGTGGATTAACATAGACCAATTCTTTTTGATACAGTAACTCTGTGTACTCCTTCCATCTTTTGATGTTTCCTGCATCATTCAATATATTGCCCATAAAATCTCTGAATATTGCAACTCAAGGCTTAAGTTTTTCCTTCAGTTCTTTCAGCTAGAGAAATGCTGAGTGTGTCCCTTCTGGTTTTCTAACTCCAGGTCTTTGCATGTTTCAATATAGTAATTGGCTTGGTCTGCTTGAGCTCCTCTTTGAAATCTTCTGTTCAGCTCTTTTATCTTGTCATTTCTCCCATTTGCTTTAGCTACTTTCTGCTCAAGGGCAAGTTTTGGAGTCTCTTCTGACATCCATTTTGGTCTTTTCTTCCTTTCTCATCTTTTTAATGACCTCTTGCTTTCTTCATGGATGATGTTCTTGATGTCATCCCACAGTTCCTCTGGTTTTCAATCATTGGTGTTCAGTGCATCAAACCTATTATTTAAATGGTCTCTAAATTCAGGAGGGATATAATCAATCAGGAGAGTGATATTGTGGCTCTCATGGACTTGTTTTAATTGTCTTCAACTTCAACTTGAACTTGCAAATGAGCAGTTGATGGTCTGTTCCACAATCAGCTCCTGGCCTTGTTTTGGCTGAAGATATTGAACTTCTCCATTGCCTCTTGCCACAGATGTAGTCAATCTGATTCCTGTGCATTTCATCTGGTGAAGTCCACATGTATAGTCATAGCTTATGTTGTTGAAAGAAGGTATTGATGATGAATAAGTTGTTGGTCTTGCAAAATTCTATCATGCGCTCTCCAGCATTATTTCTGTCACCAAGGCCATATTTTCCAACTACCAGTAACTCTTCTTTGTTTCCAACTTTTGCATTCCAGTCACCAGAGATAATCAACACATCTTGATTGCATGTTCAGTCAATTTCAGACTGCAGAAATTGGTAGAAATCTTCAATATCCTCATCTTTGGCTTTGGTAGTTAGTGCATAAATTTAGATAATAGTAGTATTAGCTAGTCTTCCTTGTGTTTGGTGGTGTTGTTGTTATGTGCCATCGAGTCAGACCTGATTCACAGTGACCCTTCCCTGGGTTTCCCAGGCAGTATCACTACAGAAGTAGATTGCCCAACCTTTCTTCAGAGGAGTGGCTGGTGTGTTTCAACCCCTAGCCTTCTGGTTAGCAGTCAAGTGCCTTAGGCACTATGCTACCACAGCTCCCTTGTAGCTGTAGATGTATGGATATTATCCTATCACTGACAATGTTGTACTTCGGGATAGATCTTGAAACACTCTTTGTGACAATGAATGCCACACAATTCCTCTTCAATTTGTCATTCCTGGCATAGAAAATCATATGATTGTCTGATTCAAACTGGCCTAAAACCAGTTCATTTCAGCTCACTAATGCCTAGGATGTCGATCTTTATGCATTCCATTTCATTGTTGACAACTTCCAATTTTCCTAGATTCATACTTTGTACATTCCATGTTCCAATTATTAATGGATCTTTGCATCTGTTTCTGGTTGAGTTATGCCACATCAGACAATGGTAGTCCCAAAAGCCTTACTCTATCCATATCCTTAAGGTTGTCTCTACTCTGAGGAGTCAGCTCTTCCCCAGTCAAATTTTGAGTGCCTTCCAACCTGATGGGCTCATCTTCCAGCACAATGTCGGATGATGTTTCAGGGCTATTCAGAAAGTTTTCCAGTAAAATATCAAACAGTGTTTCACTGTTATTCATAAGGTTTTCACTGGCCAATTATTTGAGAGGTGGATGGCCTCTTCCTTCTTTTGAGTCTGTCTAAGCCCAGAAGCTCAGCTGAAGCCAGTCCACCATGGGTTACCCTGCTGGCACTTTGCAACATGGTGGCATAGCCTCCAGCCTCACAGCAACTTGTGACCCACCACATGACAACTAACCGAGAGACAAGTTCATCTCCCTTAGCTGTTCCAAGCCAATGCCAGCTCATTTCCTGGTCTCCCTTAATTTTCCAAACCATCTCCTCTAGGGTCATTAAAGGAGCTCTGGTGGTGCAGTGCCTAAGGCATTTGACTTCTAACCAGAAGGTTGCTGGTTCAAACCCACCAGCCATTCTGTGGAAGGATGACTAGGCAATCTACTTCTGTAAAAATTTACCACCTCGGAAACCCAATGGGGGTTACTGTGAGTCAGAATCAACTTGATGGCAGTAGGTTTTGGTTTTCTAGGGTCATTAAGAGTCAGAAGCAACTCGATAGCAGTGGCTGGGTGTTAGTCTGACTTAGGATGAGAGAACCAGAAAATTATGCTACTAATTTTTTAAAAGAACACTGATGATAATTTTTCAACATTGCATACCCACAGATAGGGTTACACAGGCCTTGCAGAATTGAAGGGAAATGATCAAGGACAAGAAGCGTCTTCTGTAATCCTTCCCTTCAAACCGTATGAGTGGCATTGATTTTGCCCAGATATTTGGCTTCTCAAAGAACTACCCAAGAGAGAGAAGTCAGTAATCCCATAGTTCAAACACTTATATTTATGGTTTGGCAAAAATACTGAGTTAAACAGTGAAGCAGCATTTGTACTAGAAATGGACCAGGGGGGGGGAAAAGAAAAAAAGAAATGAACCAGAAATAAAGAGATGTTCTACTCTCAGTATGTGGTCACCGCTGCAAAAATTCAAAACTTTTCCAGTGCTAGAAAGCTATTTAGATCACAAGGGTGTTTAAACAACATATTTTTCAAGATATGTAAAAGAGATACAAGATCTGGGATTTACCTGAGATATAAAACCACAAAACCAGTAGTGTATCCATCTTTTTTACAATAATTAAGAACTCTTCTTTAAGCTAAAAACAAAGCCCTTTTCTTAATGTAGAATCCTTATTATTTGTTAACAATAAAATATAGTAGTACATTTTAAGCATCTAATTTTGAAATCTTTAACAAGTAGCCATTGTTATGCAGCATGTATAATAATGCCATTTATAACCAGTAATTATTGGTTACCATGAGTTAGACATCTAGGCAGTTTTCTGACACATTTGAAAGTCACTAATATGTGGTTCCTTCTGTTTCAGATCTTTGGCATGATATTCAGCATGGTCCTTTGCTGTGCAATACGAAACTCACGAGATGTGATATGAAGCTACTTCTATGTGAAAATTACGATCTAAATCTTTCATACTAAAAGTCACGGGAGCTGCCTTCGGGCTCATTTTTAATATTCAAAGGACATTATGACCTAAAAGTAATTTGATGTCAATTATACATTTGCACATGTGTGTATGTAGGGCTTATTACTGGTTTACTCCTTGAGTGAATGCCTGTGTGTATCGACTGAGAACATACTCATTTTTGTGCTTGTGTGTTTCTGGTATATGCATTATATGTAGTGAGATCTGTTTCCTGGGAATTCCTGATTTTTGTTATGTAAGAAGAACAATCTACTTAACAAACACCCAGAACAACAGTCAAAAATCTTTTATAAACTTTCCAAACTTGGCTGTTCGGAAAAATTATTAAATGGTCACTGTCTCAAATTCTAGCCATAGAGAGTTGGATACAGAGAATTCAGGGATTTCTAGCTAATGGCAGGAATAGGCTACAGGAATTGAGAGATCAGAGTGGAATGTTAAAATTGACTAAGTTGGGTGTAAAGGTTTCCTGGGCTTTTTTTGTATATGTACTATTCCAGAATATAGTAAATACAGCCTTAGAACTAAAGACATCTGTAAAACTAAATATAGCACGGAAAATCTAATGTGAATAAGTCATGGTTTCCTAGTGTCTCAAAACAAAAAAAAACCTCCCTCTGGAAAGAGTAGTCACAAAGACAATCATGTGCTCTATAAAAATGAGTGTTTTTAGGACTTTAAAAAAAACTTCTAAAAGTTTTTACAGAAATATTTTTGTTCTTCGACAAAAATATGTAAATATTGCTTTACTACTTTCCTGTTCTGACCCTGCTTTACAGCCCTCACTCACATCCTCAAGGTGGCTTTTAATCCAGACTCCTCTGAGTTTCTCCAAATGTAAAGATAGAAAGACAAGAGCAGGATGTCTGGTGGTCTCAAATTGTGGGAAAGAGAATCTTTACTGGCACTGTATCTTTGAAATATACCTCATAACTTGAGTTTACATATTTTCCTAATTTTTTTGTATTCTCTTTATTTATTCCCTTAGAGAATTATTTTCCCTAGAGCTAAGAACTACAGTTTTCACCACTTAAAATGAATAAAACATAATCCTACATAATTGAAATATTATCTCATGAGCATTTTTGGGGAAAAAAAAAATAGAAAGTATCTTCTCCTGGTTGTGTGCACACAAAAGGGACAAGCTGAGGAAATACATACACACACACAACGTAAGTATGTCCTTTCTGTACAAATCCCCTATGGAAATACTTCATTTTATGAACGTAACCCCAAATTTGGACTCCCTGGGTGGTGCATACAGTTAAGCCTTCACTAGCTGAAAGTCTGGCGGTTCAAGCCCACCCCGAAGACAGGACTGGTAATCTGCTTCTGAAAGATCACAGCCTTGCAAACCCTGTGGAGCCCAGTTCTACTCTGTACACATGAGGTCACCATGAGTCAAAATCAACTCATATGGCAAGTCATAACAACAACAAGAAACTCAAATTCAGGATATGAATTGACATATTTATTGGTAACTTTTAACAACCTGGTGGTAGTTGTTGTGAAGTGACTTTGAGTCAGTTTTCAATTCATAGTGACTCAATGTGTCAGAATAGAACTAACTGCCCCCAAAGGGTTTCCTGTGCTGTAATCTTTATGGAAGCAGATTGCCAGGTCTTTTCTGCCTCGTACCCACTGAGTGGGTTCAAACTGCCAACTTTTCATTTAGCAGCCGAGTGTTTAACCATTGTGTCATCAAGGCTTCTAACAAGTTGGTACATTTAGTAAATCATGGAGTTGTTTTCTTGTTTAAATTGCATTTTAAAATCCCATACCAAAGTGAAAGTATGGGGTACTTGGAAACATGTACATGTACATGTACATATGTGAGAAAACAAGTCTCAGGTGTGCACTAAAGGAAGGTACCACACTCCCAAAAACCTTTTATAAAGCCTTTGCTGAAAAGACATAACTGCTTGAAATAGGCTCCATCCCAACGAGAGTTACATGTCTCTTTCTGCCATGCTTGTTACTGCTACTAACTTTGGAGAAAGCTTCTAGAAAAAAACATCAGATGAGAAGGCTAAAAATTTAATTATGCATGGCTATTTTATTAGATCTGTAAACGAACAAACCCAAACACACTGCCGTCGAGTCAGACCCAACTTCTAGTGACCCCCTCCTTGGGTTTCCAAGGTGGTATCACTGCAGAAGTAGATTGCCCAACCTTCCTTCCAAGGAGTGGCTGGTGAGTTTGAACCACAAGGCTTCTGGTTAGCAGTCAAATGCCTTAGGCACTATGCTATCAGAGCTCCTTGGTAAAGTAGAGGATCAGTGAAAAGGGAAAAGACCCTCAACAAGATGGATGACACTGTGGCTGCTACAATGGGCTCAAGCACAGCGCTATGGTCTATGGTGCCTGACGGGGAACAGTTTTGTTCTGTTATATATAGGGTGGCTATGAGTCAGAGTCAACTTGACATCTAACAACACAGGTAAAGAAAAGATTATTTTAAGAAAGTCACTTCATGAAATAGATATTTGTACTCCAGTAGTTATGAAATGAAACTTTAAAAGCAAAAAAAAAAAAAAAAAATTGTCAATCTCTCTTGGTGGGTTTAGTTCATCTATTTGTCTGAAGACAGGAGATAGACCCAAGTGCACACTCAGGTTCATTCCAAGTCATCTCTGACTCAACAAAACTGAGTGTCATTCATTGTGTGAATTAACAACCTTGACAAAGACTACTATCATAGATAAAAATAAGAAAGCAGAGATCTGTTCCATATATGATTAATGTGCCCCTTTTGGAGGTAATCTTTTCCAAATTTTATGCCATAAGTAAAATTAGAGAACTGCATCACTGAATGAGGGTAGATTATACATTTTATATAAAGAGACAGAGATAGATATGTGTGTGTGTGTATATAATTTGAAATATGTATAACTTGAATATATATATATATATACACACATATGTATGTATGTGTGTATATATATATATATATATATTCAAGTTATACATATTTCAAAATATATGTATACATACACAAATATATATATTTTATATATTCAATTTCAACTCATAGAGAGCCCTCCTTGGGTTTCTGAGGCAGTATCTCTATAGATGTAGATTGCCCAGTATATATAGTTGTTGTTATTTCTGCTTGCTTAAGCTAATTTGAGAACAGCCCAAACATTTTATTAAGCCTCTGTTGCTAAGGCACTAAATCAAAATTTCTTAATGATGAAATATTTTAAGTTATTTCAAATTAAATTTCCTAAGAACTGGAATTGTTTGATTTTATCTTAAAATACTATTATATCTTTCTACTTAACCTTCACACAACTTATCTAAATGTCCAATCCACACAAAACTGTGCAAAAGATAACAGAGTACTAACTTTCTTTATGTTTCTCTTGGGAGCTGGGCTAAAAAAGCAACACCTGCCCTAAGAACTTTCATTGCCTATAGTTGTATTTCAATTAATATTGTTTCACCCGAATTATACTTCTCTTTCCCAGAATAGCTACTTTGTTATCTGTGGTTCAGTATGTGAAAACTGCACACTAAATCAGCGTCGAGTGTAGACCCCAATGCAATCAGCAACAGCAGCTGCTCTCTGCTCCCCGCCCCTCCATCCCCTGAGCAGTTCTCACATTGCAGTGAGACAGAGAACATGCTTTTACTTATGAAGTGAGTTTACCAAATGGTAAAAGGAAGAGAAACGCTTCGTGTCATAGGTGTAACGTGGTTTCCAGGTCCCCATGTGCAACCACTGAGGCTTCTATGAACCACCGATGTTCCTGGTTCCCTGCTACCTTGACATCCCCTTTGGCCACCAGCCCCTCAATTTCAGGAATCCCATTTTCCCCACCCTGGGAATTGCACTCATGGGCTCTTGAAATTAAATTAATTTCATCCTCTTAGTTTTGGTTCATCAAAATTAAATTTGTGTTAAGGTATGTTTTAAGAGGGATAACATATTTCTACTTTTAACATGATTCTTCATTTTTACCTATAAAATGTAAGGTATTAAATGTAGGTGTCCTTTGAAAGGTGAAATGACTTGTTCATATTCTCGTTATAACAACAAATATTAAACCCGTTCCAGGAATCCACTGTTCAGATAGTTCTCTTCTGGAGACAGACAGGGCATGAGCAATAGAAGCCACTTGTCCTCCACCCAAAGACCCACTGCCGTCGAGTCAGACCCGACTCATAGCGACCCCTCCTTGGGTTGCTGAGGCAGTATCACTACAGAAGTAGGATTGCCCAACCTTCCTTCCGAGGAGTGGCTGGTGGGTTTGAACCGCCAGCCTTCTGGTTAGCAGGCAAGTGCCTTAGACACTATGCCCCCAGAGCTCCTAAAAGCTCCAAAGTATAACCTATGCTGTAAAGTTTTTAACTAATGTGCCAGAAATACAAAGCTTTGGTATTTGTTTTTTCTCCTGTGTAATTTATTATTATTTTTTCTTTTTTTAAATTATCGGTATAAAGTACTTAGCGCACACCTGGCAGCTAATGAATATTAACTATTGTTATAATTATTAGCTTGTTACTCTGATGAGAAGTTTTTGTTATTTATAGCTCAAACATAATTTTTTAGGTGTCATGAGTAACTTAAGGCACTTCTGCGTAACTCCAACTCTGCTTACTTGGACCCATTCATTTGTTGAATGAAAGGATTCCTTTTGATACATTTCCCTAAATTCAAATACTTGATATCAAGTAGCCATAGCCAGCCATAGCCTGGGCCTGCTTGGCCTTGTAAGATGCGACCCACTCTGATGTTAGAATTGGCTTTTTAATTTGTTTGAGAACCACTATTTTGTGCATTTTAATAAATATATATAAGAATATTCATATGCTAAGATGAACGGGAGAACTCTGCCCTCAAAGATCTTACAGTTTGGAGAAAAGTAAGCAAGTGTATTACCATGAGAGACATACTACTATGATCATTAACCCAGAGTGGTCAGGGAGGAGGAGTTCTGAATTT